CTTTTAATATTTAGTTAGCATAAAGGTCGCATTTTTCCGGTTTGCAACTCGTATTTACTGACAACCTTTTAAGTAGGCTATAAAACTACAAATAAATTAGGTAAAAGATTACTACTAAAAGATTACTACTAAAAGATTATCTGTCCAACAACATCTGTGGAGTAGTCCAAGATCATCTGTACATTTTTGTCCAAGGTTATCAGTATTTTTCTTTTACTCTAATAACATCTGTCCAATATCATCTGAAAATTCAACGACCCCTAACAACATCTTTAAAAAGATGTAACTAAAATAAATATAAAAAATAATTCCGATATACACATTAACTATTCTTACTGTTCTAGTCCACATGATAAATCAAAAATTGAACTAAAACAATCTACAACGTGAGAAAAGTTGGATTTATATAAATATATATATCTAAAAAAGATAAAAAAATAAAATAAATAAATTAAAAAAAAAAAAAAGATAAAGTACACACACACAAATCATAATACAACAAGAAAAATCAAAACAAAATTTTATCACAATAATATTTAAAATATTTTTACATAAGAATCACAATGTATATGTGTATCTTGCGTAATACACCAAGATTCTCGATGATAAAAGTTATTCAGTCTTCTACGAGTTCCCTATAATAATATAATCTTAACAAGTCTTTCATAATATATTTATCACAATTATCAAAAAATGAATTTAGGAAGCATTCAACTAATGCTTTTTTTTCAATTGTTCTTCTTTTTTAACTGAGTGTTATTTTTTTATGTTAAATGTATTTTAACAGTATTTGATTAAATATAATCTTTTGTAACGGAAGTATATTTTGCGTATACTAAGATGTTAAAAAAAATTTAGCAAACATGTAGTTGTGAAAATGTAAATAAATAAATAACTACATCTGGTAATTTTTCTCCAAGTCCAATAACATCTGGAAGAATTTTCTCCAGATGTAGTTACATCTGAAAAAATTTCTATATGTAACTACGTCTGGTTAAAATAATGCATTATTAGTTAATTTTTTTTTCCAGATGTAATTACATCCTAAAAAATCCTTTATGTAACTACATCCCCAGGAAAAAAAATCTCTATAGAATTTCTATAAACTTTTGAAGCATATGGCCTATACAATTTCTATAGAGTTCTATAGAATTTCTATAATTTGTCTGTTAATTTCTATAAAAATTTCTATAGAGCTTTTTTTTCTTCTTTTTTTTTTCTATAGAATTTTTTGCTATATTTATTGCTATAGAATTTTTTTTTCTATAGAAAAAAAATTCTATAGCAATTTCTATAGAATTTAATAGACATTCTATAAAAATTCTATAGAAATTTTATAGAATTTCTATAGGCCATATGTTTCAAAAGTTAATAGAAATTCTATAGAATTTTTTTTCCTGGGTCTGGTTAAAATAACGCATTCTTAGTTAATTTTTTCCAGATGTAGTTACATCTGGAAAAAAACGATATGTTAAACAATAATTTAAAAAAAATATTTTAAGCTTTTTGACGATGGAGTATATACTCTTTAAATTATATTTTAAACTTTACGCAATTAAACTTTACTCGACAAAGTAGAAGAACATAATAAACTTTAAATTAACTTGTAGTTAAGTCTAATTTAAAGAAGTAGCATATAGGGCAAACCACCCCTTGTTCAAAGTTTTTTTTTGCATATTTTTATATAATATTTTATATAAACAATAATTTTTCAATCGTTAATTCATAAAATATTGATATCAATGTTTTACTGTATAAAGGTATAGTTGCTCTTTACAATACACTTTGAGTGAATGATATCCGAAAAAAAAAAGAGGGGTTAGAGCCCCGAAATGTCAAAATGTCGAATACAAGTTAGACGTTTTTTTTTTCCAGTATTCGACACTAATAAATTTTTAAAAATTTAAGTACTTCTTCAAACACAGGTGTTTAAATGATAGTTAGCAAAACGAAAAACGAAAATTCGAGTTCAAAAGTATTCTTTTTATAGTTTACAACGTAAAATATAAAAAAATACTTTAAATAAAAGATTTAAAAGTCTGTACTTTATATTTTACAGCGTAGGATAAATGATTACAATTTAAACTAAATTAGGATCATTATTTTTCTGATTTGATTTTGTGGTTTTCTTTGCATTACAGCTTAATTTTCACCATCACCAGCCGTAGGTGTGTATTTTTTCTTTTCTACATTTGTCAATCGTACTTGTTTACGACTTTCTTTGGCGGCAATAGTATCTTTCTTTTTTTGTCGGATATCCCCTAACAAAGAAACTACTTAAGGTGTTGTCAAGACAGATACTGCATGGAGTTCTTGAGCTACTGTTCTAACTTTAGGAACAATCTTCTTTGACCAACTGTGATGCAGTAAGGCTTTGCTTATAGCTGTTCATTTAGAAAGCGATGTTGATGGAGTTAAGGCATGAGGAGGTAAGAATGATTCCTCACGCCTAAAGAAAGAAGAAAATCAAGAAACCAATATTAAATTGGAGTGTCAGGGTAAACATTCACAGAATACATACAATTTAATATAGGCTATGTTATTTCTATAAAATTTAAAGGAAATATAAGTATTATCTTCTATACGGTTTCTTTCCTCTACAGGGTTCGTTGATATTATATCTGCATTTTTTCTTTGTAAATAATTAAACCATTTTTCTCTAGTGATAAAACGCAATGATTCTAAGCGAGAACACTCAATGGCCGAGTCATTGCATTCAAATGAACATCTGTAAAAGAAATGTACAAAGTTAAATGGATTGATTGTTTGTAGATCAGCCTAATAAAACGAAATAAAATTATAAGTCAGTATAGCTTATAGATATATGCACATATATAAATAATTATATATAACAGACCAATGTTCAAAACTAGAACTTGAAACAAAATCCAAGAAACAAAATGACAATTAAAATTGTAGCTTTTGACTCAATAGTATTTAATAACTAACCATTTTTCCCCAGGCACTAAAGTCCCAGCTTGCCCAAATTTAAAAAGCCGATTTCTATTTATCTCAAGAAAATTCCTTTCATCAGATATAAACGAAGAAACAAGGGATGAAACGGTATCTTTTGTGACAGGCAAAAGATACCGTTTTATCCCTCAGAACCCTTATTATACGATAAAGTAATAATAATAACAAAAATTTTTTTTTTTTTTTTGTCGAATACTGGAAAACATAATAAACTGCTTATAGTCTTCGACACCCCTTCTAACCCCCACTTTCCTTTCAATTTTTTAATTTTAAATAGTTGTACATTTATTTCATCTATTTCAGAGTCAGCATAAAAAAAAAAATTCAAATACATTACATTTGTCATGTGTGGTTATCTGGAAACAGTTATGAAAATTTTTCCTGAGAGTTAAGGGTATTTACGGAACTTTTTTTTTGCTCCAAATCATCTCAATCCAACTAAGTCATAGAACAAACAAACTCGTAAAAAAAAAAAATTTATACAAATCCGATTGGTTGTTAGTGGCAAACCAAACGACTTTTTATTTATTGGTGTATTTAAGGTGGATAACCACAAAAAAAAAGTTTTTTTTTATGAAAAAATAAATTTTTTGATATTTAAGTGATATAATGCTTCAATGATCTATTTTAACTATGGTAAGGCTATTTATATCTAACTCATTTTGAAAATTAATCTATTTTGGATGGTTTGTATAAAAAAGCGTCATTAGCACGGCCATAGCAACAACATTTTCGTTGTTGTTGTAAAGTCTTTATTAACTAGCTTTTCTTAATGATTAATTGCATAAAAATTTAAACATATTATGTTTTATTGTCAGCTTGGTTTGCAAGCGATTACTTAAAGTCCTCATGCTAAATTATTTATAAGTTAACAATAAATAGCATTTCATACAACATACCTTGTTTGCATTTCAACTTAAGATAATATATATATATATATATATATATATATATATATATATATATATATATATATATATATATATATATATATATATATATATATATATATATATATATATATATATATACATGTAAATACAAGTAAAAAAAGGAAAAGAAAAGTTTAAAGCATTAAAAAAAGATTGGGTTGATAATATAAAAGAAACTTCAACTTCAAAAAGCTTATTAATCTGGTAAAATTTAAATTTTTTATGATTTTTATTTTATTTTTCTTATTTTCTCAGAATTGCATTTTAACGATACTTAGTTGGACTTGCAACATGATATCTAAATATTGGGTCAAGCAATTTACATCAAATTTCCAGGAGCTATTCAAAATACCTAGATGAAGAAAATGAATGTAAGAATTTTTGAAAATTTATTTTTTGTCTTTTTTGTGTTTTGATACAGCTCTACCCCCTGAAAATATTGAAAAAAACAAAAAATTATATTATACATACTCATTTAGTATGTATAATATATATTATACATACTCATTTAGGTGAGGTATTGAAAATAATAACTTCAATTTTCATAAACAAATAGTTTTTCATGGATAATTTTACCAAATATCTGATTTTAAATGTCAAGTTACATTCATTGAAAACACCAATACGTGCTTTTATGAAAAAATCAAATTAATAGACTCATCTATAGCCAAGCCCGAAGGTACTTTACGTTGAAAATTACATCTTTCCTAAATCTACGCTTGACGATTTGTTATAGTCGCATTACTTTTGCCAGATTATAGTAGAGAATAAAATAATCTTTCATACATACCAAATGTCAAACTTTTTGATCAAAAAACCTACATATATTGTAATTAAAAAATCTTATATTTTTGTTCGGAAAAGCGTGTACCATGCTTTAATTGCATTGAGATCGTATGCGTTTATTTTTTTTTTTACGATAGCCAAACTTCCTTCGTATATAAAGGAAAGATAAGTGATCATTTCAGACTCTATTTTGGCACTTTACTTTAGTTAGTGTTTGCTCAGCTTATTTTTTAGTGACAAAACGTCGAAGACTGGAAGGGGTGCCGACCAGAAATTTAATAGCTCCATTAACATCAGAAAATTTAAAACTTAAGAAGTTGGCTAATTTTTTATAATAAACATAAAAACAGTTAACAAAAAACAAATGCATATAGTTTATATTGGTTTTGAAACTTCATATATTTATTTGTTCTTTTGAACAGACGCCAACTTTTTACGTTTTTTACTCAACTTTTCACAGTCAACCAAGATCTCTTGGGCGATTCTAATTTGTTCTGGGTTGGTAATATATTGGGCTATTGACAACATCCTATTGGCCTGTAGTGTAGCATTTTCAAGGTCATTTAACTCCAAATAAGCATCACAAAGTCCACTCAATGAAATACAAACATGCCTTAAACAAAACAAACAAAAAATTAAAACAATATTATTTATAATACTTTTAAATATTTTTGTATTGCATACAAATTAATTAATAAATAGAATGAACCATAAAAAAATGAAGCTTATCATTCAATTTGCTATAATAAAATTGTATTTTATTTTGTTGTTGACATATTAAGATTCTATAATAGTAACAAGATTTTTATTTTTACATTATCTAATTTATAGTTATTTGACTTATCCAAAACATAATACATTTAATCTTACAATGAATTTTCACCATATGCCTTCACTTTTATTTCCAAAGCTTGCTTGTATTTTTCTAAAGCAATTTTGTGGTCTCCTCTCATTTGAGCCTCATATGCTTCATTGTTTAACCCAACTCCAACAGTTAATGCAATCATTTGGTCACTGTTAAAGTTTGAAGCATCATGATAAGAACACATTTGAAATTTTCTTACTTTGTTTTACTTTAAAGTTTGTACGTTTGACTAAATGAAAAGTTATTATTAAAAAAATTTTTGGCAGTACTTATAGTCAAGTTGATAAAAACCTAGTTAAATTGTAGCATCTATAACTAACAACAAACAAAAAAATTTATGGTTAGGATTAAAATTATCCATTACTTATTAGATTATGTAAAATCTTATGTAATAAAATATCTTTGGATTTTTCTTTTTTTTAATTACTATAAATTAAATTTTAAAACTATTTAAATTATCCTACTTAGTGCTCAAAATCACTTTTAATTACATTTATGCGTGTATGTATTTTTTTTATTTTTTTATAATTTATTCAGTTTTATATCAGTTTACAAAAACATAAATTTTAACTTGAAAAGGAATAATACCTAATAAAAGGTGTCTTCCTTATTCCCTAATTTTTACAGCCGATATGTCTTGAAAAAATAAAATTTTTCAGCACAACTGATATTGAGAAATTTTGAAGCCACATTAAGAGCACAAAGGGTATGTAAGTATATATACATACATACATATATTTTTGTATGTATGTATGTATGTATGTATGTATGTATGTATGTATGTATGTATATATATATATATATATATATATATATATATATATATATATATATATATATATATATATATATATATATATATATATATGCACCATGAAATTAATAAGTTTATACAATTAATTTATTCTGTAACAGGATTTAGTTTTAAAACAACTATTTTCACTTATATCATAACAGTATTAGGCAGAAATACATTTACTTTTATTCTTAAAATTTTTTAAATTTTAATTTTTTTTTAAATAATAGAAAATTAATTTTAAGGTTAAGATTAAAAATAAAAATTTAAACAGATATTAAAATATTACAACTTTAAAGTCAATTCCAATAGTTTTAGTTTTTTTTTACTGTCAAATAAATGTTTTTTTTTTAAAAAGTAATTAGAGATAAATATCAAAAGTTTCTCTCATTAAAACCATCATAAGCAATTATTGTTTAAGGTATCCCCTTTAACAATAATAGTGATTTTTGTGTATTTTGATTTTGATTTGATTTTAAAGTTACATTACATTGGTGATGTTGTAAAAAGTTGTATCTAGTGAAACTTAATTTTAAGATATATCTTTATAATATTTTGTTTTTAAGATATCCACAGCTTTATGTATTGAAACATGTGCATACAATAAATTAAAAAAAGATGAAAAAATGCACCATTTAAAAGAGTAAACTTTTTTTTTCTAAGCACTTTAATTCGGTAAAAAAACATTTCAAAAATTTCGAATTTCGAATACTTAATAAATTTAGAGTACAAATCGCAATAAAATGGTAGACTGCGTTTTTGTTTGTAAATTTTGTCAAAAAGATTACCTGACCTCTTAATTCTCTGTAGAAATATCAAACAAACAAAATTTGTTTTCAACATGTAATAAAATAAAAGTCAAGATTTTGTCAATAGGCGATAAAATAAAAGCAAGATTTTCAAATTTTAAACGAAATTTATTTATTTAACAACTAGGCTACATAAGTTGTTATACTTATACTTAAAGTGTTTAAAAAATTACCTTGAACCTTTAAAAATATAATGTAATAAATTTTCAAAACATTATTACTTTTTTACAAAACAATCATTTTCTAAACTTTACTTGACTTTTCTCGTATTCTTTAGATTCAAGATCCATCTAAGAAAATAACGTTAGCTAATCCGTCCAAAAAATTACAACTCAATCACGCAAGAAAACATTTTATAATTAATTTAGAATTGATTTCCGACCAATAATAGTTTTGACAAACAAATTCAATAGCCAATTGCATTTCTCGAGTTTTTAAGAACAATACTTTTTAACTCATTAGTGCGCAGTGATTGGAATTAATCGAAAAGTGACGTTAATTCTTTTTACCCTTCTTTAGATACACCACCATTAAATAGTTTAAGCATATAAGCATATTTTAATACACATGCATATAAGCATATGTATTAAAATGCACCATTAGAGAGTTTTTGCATATAAGCGTTACGTCGAGGCAGTAATAGGATTTCAAAAACATTTTTCGTAAATAATAATTAAGTCTTAGGGGAAACTTCCTATCTAACGCATTTAAATTTTATAAATTTAAACGATACAGTAGAAATTTTATTTCTTACCTGCAGGTAAAATTTTTAGGTTGTAGGTTTAAAACTCATTAATTTTTCATGTGACTTACGTTTTTTAAGCCGTGCACTGCTTAAAAAACGTAAGTACATGAATAATTATTGATTTAAAACTCAAACTTTTGTTTACTCCCAACCCTGTCAACTTTAAATTTTTAGTAAACTTGATGCATATTTTCTATTAAGATCGCATTGATTGTTTATATATAAATATAGTATATTTATAAATTTTTTTTGGAATTGTTCTTGAAATTGTTTTTGAAATCGTTTTTAGAAATATTTTTTACTTAAAACGTGTTGAAAGTTTTTCATACTTAACGTTTTTTAAATTTGCAGTGGTAGAAAACTTGTTAGCGTCTGTACTAACACCAACTGGAGATAACGCTTGTATGCTTAAACTTTCTAATGTATCGGGTGATTCATAAATAATGATACCATTTATTTTTCAGTTTTTTTTTACTAAGATGTTAACTTACTAACATTCAAAATAGATTCAAAAGATAGAGAAAATTTTTTTCTATAAGATAATGTCTTTTTATTTTGAATAATAGTTTCCACCATTCTCACAAACATGATTTAATCGAACTGAAAAAGAATTACAACTTTCTAAGACAATTTCAAATCTAATTCTCTTTACTGCACGTTTTAACTCACCGATTAACGTTTTTTTTGAGCTTACTTGACCCAATCAATAGAATAGTTAAATTCCTCCCAAATAGAAAAGTCTAATGGGTTCAAATCTGGGCTATTTGGAGGCCAACTTTCTTTAGGAATAAAATCAGGAAAATTGTCCTGACACCATTGTTGTGTCAATCGGTGTGTATGTGCTCGTGCACCATCCTGCTGATATATCCAGTTTTCACCAAATACTTTATTGCCATATTTTTTGGCTACTGATAAAACTACTTCAATATACCTTTCATGGTTAACGGTAACCTTTTCAAAAATAACTAATGGTGATACACCTTTTGAACAAACTCCTAACCAAACCATAACACGTTCAGGAAATTTTCTTCGCTGCTTGATTCCTCCGATGCTATCAGCTTCAACACGATTTGAAGCCCATATTCTGTCATTTTGAGAGTTATAAATACTATCAATATCAAAAAAAATTTCGTCAGAAAAAAGGATTCGCATCGTATCAGCTTTTCGATAATTGTTACGAATCCAACTTGCAAATTTAACTCACTTTTCTTTGTGGTCATCGGATAATAGTGGTTGGACAACTTTTTTGTAGGATCGATGCTGAAGATCATCTTTAAGAACACGATAAACACTTGGTTGAGAAATATCGAGTTCATTTGCCAATTTTTGTGTAGAAATTGGCTTTTTCTTCCGTTTCTGCCGGTTTTTTATTTTTTGGATAGTTGCTTTTGTTCGAGCTGTGCGAGGACGACTAGGAGGTTTTGAAAGTTTGATTGTATCTTTGGCAATCATTTTGCACCATCTTTTGATTGTTGGTAAGCTAAGAGTGCCACTCAAATCACGAAAAATTTTAGTTGGACCATCACCATTTTTATACTTAGAAATTACAACATTTTGCAAGTCTTGACTCTTGCGTGCGCGCAGAGAAAAAATGAGAATGGTACGTTATTTAGCACAAAATTCTCTATCTTTTAAGACCATGTGCGGTTCATACTTTGATCAACAGAGGCCAAAATTAATCAATACAAAAAGGTATCATTATTTATGAATCACCCGATAGTTTTGCCAGGACCGCTAGGACCCGCTCAAAAACAACTATTTCCGATTTTAAAATGTTTCACGTCAATTTTTTTTACATGAACATGGACTAAAGACTACTGAGGCCAAAAGCTCTTTAGGGACCTTATTTTTACATTTAAAAAGTTACTTTTACTGTCATAAAGTACGTACATTTATAAATGTAAATATTTACCAATGTACATAAGCCTTTTCTTCATAAATATAAAAAATTATGAGATAAATCTGTTATTTATTAATTTTTAATATTTACATATTTTTATATAGATTTATAATGTAATATTTACGTTTATAATATAATACAATTTAAGAATAATATCACAAATTAAAAAATCAGTTACGACGTTAGGAAAAACAGATTAGAGTTCTTTTTTTATAAAAACTCGAATTGTAACATTGGTATAGTAAATACCTGGCAAGATTAACTTTGTTTTCAAACCCATCAAAACTGTCTCCCATTTCCACTAATAGCGCGAGGTTTATGACCAATTGCCTGGTTTTACTTTATTGAAAGAACTCTTTAAAAATGTTATACTATTAAAATTGCATTGAACATGAGAACCCAGTGGGAAAAAAGACGTCGAAAAGACGTCTTTAAAAGTTTTATTTACGATGTCTTTAAGATGTCTTTTTTTAATCGATCATGCAAATCTAAAAGATATCTTTTTTCGAAATCAAAAGACGTCTTTTTTTATCTTAATCTTGTCATAAAAAGACATAAAAAATAAGTCTTTAAGACGCCTTTTTTTAGTCGAATATGCAAATCTTAAAAAGTGTTTTTTCTCGGGGTCGGAACAACTTTTTTGCCATACTTATTAGTATACTATAGTATCCTATACACTATAGTATTCCTACTATTCTTATATGAAAAGCTATTTTTTTCAAAGGAAAATGATAATAGCTCTTCATAAAAAGACAAAAAGCTTTTTTCGATGCTGAGAAAAAAACCTCTTTTAGATGTCAATATAAACTAGGAAGCATTTTCTACATCTTTTATATGTTTAAATATAGGAGAATAATTTATAAATAAAACAACAGTATTGTTCAACAGAATATTTTTTCATCTTTCTCTTTCTTTTCTGTTTCTTGAGCGAGCTCTGTTTCTTGGCGTTGTTGAATAAAATTAACAATTTCACGTCGAGAAATCCTTTCATAAGAGCAGGTTACGACTTCTAGCTGGTTACTACTTCTATAAAACGAGTGAACATAAAAAACAGTCTATTGCTTAAATGTAATACAAAAAAAGCAAACGAAACTTGATTAGCTGAGTGGAGCACATTATACTTACTGATTATTAATTCAAAAAGGGCTGATCCTTTTAATCCACTCATGTTTCCAGCGCGGTCCCTTATTTTTGAACCCACTAGGTTAGATTGGGACAGGAGTTAAACGGTAAACAGTCTAAAAATATATAAAAATGAGTGTGCTAAATAAATTTACAACCATCAAAATAACTGTACAACGATGTATTTTACTATGTAGTACTTAAATCAAGCTAAACATTTGCACCTCTCAGGCTTGCTATGAAAGCCAACCCGGTGGGAAATTGGCTAGCGAATAGCTAGCTATAATCGTTACGATAAAGACCGCGATTTGGCCACAAGGATTGCTAGCTTTTTTAAGTTAGCGAAAAGCTATCGATATTTGTAAAGATAAAGACAGTGACTTGGCTACGAGGACAGCTTAACAAGGTGAAGATCCACTGGCTTTTGTACCTAGCGTCATATCGTAATAAAATCGTAGTCTAAAAAATTTTGATATGTAGCTATCAACCAGCTATAGATTTGTAGATATTTTGTAGCTAGCTACAAAGCTACGATATGTAGCTAGCGACACATTGCTACAAAATCGCACTGTTTAAAGTTCAATTATTTTCATAGTTATAATAGACTCAACACTAAAAATCGAATTTTTTAAGATGTTAAAGACATTTTCAAAAAATAAAATAAGAAAAAAAAATCGCTAGAAAATTGCTATAGAGCTAGCTAGTCGCTAGCTAGTCGCTAGCTCATTTCTCACCGGGAAGTTATTGAAAACAGATATTGATATTTTTCTGTCTTCTATAAGATGATTTTTTAATTGAATTTCGCTGAAATTAAATGTTGTAGACACAAAATAATTTAAAAATCCGTTATTGACTAAAGACTATCAAAACAAAAAGGTAATTCAGCTAATACACATTGAGAGTTGTTATTCAATTAAACCAGAAAAAAGTATTAGTCAAAGCTCTATTTTAGCTTGAAACATAAGGATGCTTTACTTAACAACATAAAATCATAAAAACTGGCGATATCATTAGCAACACAGATGAAATACACATAAACAAAAATGTAGACTAGAAAGCTCCAATGATGTTTAAATATAAGAATGTGTACCTTTCCAGTATCATTTTCACTTGGTTTTTTGTATCCAAATCAAAAATTTTGCGAACATTTGTAAAGATAAATCTGTTGTCATTATGTGTATTTTTATAATTGCTTTATTAATGACAGACAACAGTTAACAAGGAAATAACATATTTAACATAAAAGTTGAAGAGCCTATCTTTTGTATAAACAGTTATAAAAATCATCATTCAACTAAATAAAAACAACAAAATTATTCAGATCATTTGAAAATATATATAAAAAAAAAAATTGCAAGCCTACTGAATGCTTCTTTTTTTCTATCGTTCGTTTCACTGGCACTTGAACAAGTAAATATAGAGAGAAATTGTTTACAGGTTTTATTTGTCGTCTGAAAATAAATATTTTATTTAATATGTAATAAACAACGTTCTTCAAGCACAATACATTAAAGTTTAATGTATTGTGCTTGAAGAATTAAATTAAAAATAAAATAAAATTAAAAAAATTAGTCTAAAAATAAATGGTAAAACTTTTTTAAAAGACTTACCTACGACTAACTTAATTGAGACTAGATCATATCGATACCATCTTACTGGCACCACGCCATCCACTTTTGCTTCTGCCGATTAACATTTTTTAGCTAAGCAGCTGCAATTGTATATTTATTTCATTTTATATATATATATATAAATGCATATATATATATCCCAGCCGGCACAACTTGTTAAAAAATTACTAGTGGTTTCTGTTGCGTGTTTAAAACTCCTGAAAACACTAAGAATATCACGTGTCAAAAATAGTTTTGATTCCGTGAAATTAACTACTACCATTTACCAAAGTACGTGTTAGAATATTAAGTTTTTACTAATGGCTTCACAATTACAAAAATGGAATATTATATTATTTAAGGTTTCCGTTACGAAACCATGAATAAAACCATACAAAACTTATCGACTAGAACTGTACAGAATTCGAAAACAGAACGATTTTGTAAAAGCGTTTTCTTCTAAAGCATGGTTTGTAAAAGTTATTCGGAAATAAATTTTCTCTTTACATAAATTGTGATTTTACTTTATATCACATTATTTATGTCTATTATTGTCAAATATTAGTATTTATAAATACTAATATTGTTATAAACATCAACATAAAATGCGTTATATATGTAACGCATTTTATGTTGGTGTTTATAACAATATTAGTACTTATAAATACTAATATTTGACAATAATAGACACAAATAATGTGATATAAAGTAAAATCAAAATTTATGTAAAGTTTTTCAAAATTAAATTAAATTTATGTAAAAAAAAAATGTAAATTCAAAATTTATGTATATTATAATATACATAATATTATGTGTTATATGTGTTATAACCCATATATATATATATATATATATATATATATATATATATATATATATATATATATATATATATATATATATATATATATATATATATATATATATATATATATATATATATATATATATATATATATATATATATATATATATATATATATATATATATATATATGCCTATTCATATTTGGTATGTTTTACAACAGGGTATGTGGATTTTAATAATCAAACATTTACTGGAACAAATTCTAGACAACTTGTAAATTGCTCTACAATTTTAAGAAAGCCAATGAGCGAAAATTTAATTGCTGCTGATGAAAATAATTGTATTGAGGCTCTAGTAGCCTTTTCAGGTAAAAGTTAGTATTTTTTTCAGCGTAAAATAATAATGTCACAACATCACTTGAAAATGAAAATAACCAAGATTGAAAAAACTGTCAATATGGCTGTTGGTCTTTTACAACAGCTTTTAGATAAAGGTTCAAATGTAGTTACGTTTGATCAAGTTACCTCAATGGACGACCTGATAAAATTCGAGATCCGTCTTAAAGACAATTTATTTAAAGAAAAGTTAACGCGGAAATTTGAACCAATGGGACCTGTCTGCAAAGATTCAAAAGCGCATTGCTATGCAATTTTAGATTCACTTATGACCGAGGAAGTGCAATCTAAAGTTAATGTTATGTATGGTAATCACTTGCCAAACAAAAATTATACTGACCATTTGTCATTAACACACGATTTGCCTTTGATTTTTTCTTCCATTCTAGCATCGTTAGTTTTATGGAAGGTACCAGAAAAACTTTTGAAATCCTTTTTGAGTGAAAGGTTGAAGCAAGGTATGAGAAGAGCTCATGCTGCCAAAAGAGATTAAACTGTATATTATTTATCTTTTATATTTAGTTTTTTAGTTGGTATATTTATATTGTTAATGGTAAAAAAGCTTGGAAGAAATTGAAATATAATTTAGGATTTTCTTAAAAAAATGCAAGTAAAATATAATAAAAACGATCATATTTTAGTTGAAGTCAATCGAAGTTTAGAGAATTTATATATGTTGATTGGTAAAAAGTCACCAATCATTGATCAAAAATTAAAAAAAAAGTAGTTTGCATGATTGAAATCTTAGTATAAGTTCCGTAGCAGGCTTTAATAAATCTTTCGTGAAGTCTACGTATTTTTGGTTTACAATTTGATCGCGTTATACACGTGTATGTTTTAGATTTAATTTCCGCATTGAAACCTCATAAGACTCGTATTTATAACCTCATAAAACCCGTGTTTAAAATTTAAAATAAACTCGTGTTTGAAACCTCAGAAAACACGTATATAACTCCAGTTCAACTTCCCGTGAAATCCACGTGTTTTTGGTTTACGCCTGGATCGTAACAATTACGTGTTTATACGGGTTTTAATTCCGAGATTAAAACTAGATGTGCCGGCTGGGATTATAGTATATATATATATATATATATATATATATATATATATATATATATATATATATATATATATATATATATATATATATATATATATATATACTATAATATATATATGCATTTATATTATGTATATTTTACATAATATATTACTTTATTTTATAAATTATTAAATAAACCCGCTTACCAAAAAAAGTTAATTTTTAACTAAATTTCCTATGCAAAAACGTTTCACATAAAAGTTATATAAAAGTATTTTGTAAACAAAAAACGGGCCAATCGTAACGTAACAAAGATATCGTAATTACGATACTGTGGGTTAAAACCCATTTTTGTTTGGTTCTATTGGCAATGATTATTTTTAATTTTTTTAAGCAAATAATGATTTCCTTATTAACAACCAATTGACGTCTTATCGACCTCTTTTTTGAAGACGTCTTTTTAAAAGACGTCCTTCCACGTCTTTTTTTGGCTGATTATAAAAAGACATAACAAGTCATAAAAAAGACGCCTTTTATTCGTCTAAAGATGTCTTTTTCCCACTAGGAACTGCTTTGGTGGCATTCGCGTGAGCCTTTTAACGAGTTTCTGATAATGGTTTGAGTATTTATTCGTTTTCTATGTGTTGCTTTAAGACATCTCGGCGATCCGTCGAACTTGAAAAAACCTATAAAATAGATGCATGGTAGAAATATAAAAAAATAAGCAGCATTATACAGCAATCTTCCCAACTAGGTATAACGAATGCACCACACACGGTGCATGCTAATTGAGATTTAACATCCCTCGGTATACTCCGGACATGTTTAACATCCCTCGTTATACTCCAGACATGTTTGTCGCATTGTTGCACTATGCGTCGCGAAGCATTATTAGTTACTTACTTTTCTAAAAAAAAAAAATTCAAATTTAATATTTTAAATATTTTTTAACCAAAACAAGTTAGCATTAGATAATAAAAAAATATTTATTTCAATTTTTTTTAAATTGCCTTTTTAAGTGCGGAATTTTCAGGGGTTTTTACCAAATCTTTATATTACATACAATAATTTCCGAATTTCCTTAATTTTTTTGCATATTATCAAATAAATGATACATTTTGCAAATTAAAAACCAAGGAAAGAAAAAAAAAAAAAATTGATTAGACCATGTTACTACAGAGGTACCCAGTTTTATTTATTATAAATTTTCTACGATAAATAGACTTTTTAGAAGTGAAATAATGTTATGGCTACCTCTGTAAAAAAATGGTTTTATTAATTGGGTTTTTTTAAAAACTGGTTAGTTAGTAAGTATAAAAAACAACACAAGATGCGGAGCGCTACATTTGTTCCAAGTCATTAAGTTATAACTTATATGTTGAGCGTGGTTTAATGTTTTAAAATGGTTACTTTTTTTTATCACAGCAAACTTTTATTAAATGGTTTTCTTCTAAGGCATATTTTCACAAGTAAAAATGTATTTGCATGTGCTTTATTTTCGCAGTTCTCGTTTTTATCACTTTATGCTGGTTACACAGTGAGTTTTAACATTTTTGAGAGTCTGTCTTTTTATTATTAAAAATTTGCTAAAACTAAAATATAAAACATCAAAAATCAACAAAGTAAATATCTTTTGTAAGTATAATATGTTTTATATACTAAGTTGTTATTATTATTGTTAAATAAGCTACGAATATTAAATTATAATATAATATATATATATATATATATATATATATATATATATATATATATATATATATATATATATATATATATATATATATATATATATATATATATATATATATATATATATATATATATATATATATATATATATATGATATATATATATATATATATATATATATATATATATATATATATATATATATATATATATATGTATATACATATATATATATATATATTATATATATATATATATATATATATATATATATATATATATATATATATATATATATATATATATATATATAAAGAGAGAGAGAGAGACATTCTTTTTTTTATGTTTCACAAAAACACTTTTAAGTTTGACATTTTTGTTAGTGTTGCATATGCTTTAATGTATTTTTTTATTATTTATAGCGTACCACAAAGATAACCTAAATCAGAATAAATAAGTTGTTTCGAGACTTACTCATAAACAGCACGACTACAAGAGCGGATATAGATTTTCAATCAGAAATCTGAATATCTATTTGCAATAATTACTAATTATATTTAAAAAAAACCATACTTATGTCACAAACTTCACATATAATTCATGGTTATTCTTTTAGTAGGTATTTTAAGTTTTATCCAATAAGTTCTTTATCTGAGAGTGCTATTGAAGCCAGAAACAAAGAAAGCAAAGCTGCATGTGTTAGTCATGCACGTCTAAAATTTTTTGCAGAAAATATTAAGGATGCAGTTAATTATTTGTTTTGGACATTTGATATGTACCTCTATTAAGTGTTTTTTTGAATGTTATGCTTTTGTTAATTTTTATTTTGGTAAAGAAATCTCAATATAGTTTATAATAACAATTCAAAGTTTTGTTGTTTTTTGTTTTTAAAATATTTAAGAAATAATTTAATATATTTTAACGAGTAATAAACTAATCTAGAAAGATCATGAACTAAAAATTATACTGATAAGCTGTTCTGCATTGAATTTTTAAAATTACGGCTATTTTCATAGCGATAAGTTATCTATTAGAACGTTTGGAAACTTTGTAAGAAACTAAAGAACAAAGAATCAGATGATAGAAGGTTTGTTTATAATTTTAATAAGTTTAAATTTAATGACATTGTTAAAAAATTTCTAAAAAAAGCTTGTAAAATTCTATTAAATATCAGCGCCTACTGTTTTTTGAATAAAAATATCCGGACATATGTAATTTTCCGGAATAGTCAGAAATTAGTCCGGATAAACCCAACAAAATACAGTAAACTGTTTTCATATAAAAACCGGAAATTTTTCTTTCAAATATAGAAATATAATCAAAAATTCAATGTGTCTTGTGAAAAAATCAGCTCAATATGTTAAATGCTTCCTTATTTATTAGCCTATTACCTCATTTTGTAATAGAGCGACGTATAGTGTGTTGTAAGAGTGATACCTACATTTCGTAATAGAGCGACGTATAGTGTGTTGTAAGAGTAATACCTACATTTCGTAATAGAGCGACGTATAGTGTGTTGTAAGAGTGATACCAACATTTTGTAATAGAGCGACGTGTGTTGTAAGAGTGGTACCTACATTTCGTAATAGAGCGATGTATAGTGTGTTGTAAGAGTGATACCGACAATTTTATAAATTTAAATCATAAGTCTTGCTTAAAAAAGTTTTAAAATCTGTTCTGCAATTATTGACGTGACTTTTTATAATTAAAAATGTTAAAAATTGCTTAACTGGTCCTAAGGTAAAAATTTACAAACAACTAGTTTGACGATTATTGACTTAGGACCAGTTAAGCATTAAGTTTTTCTCTAGATATTGCTTACATTAATCAAGTAACTGTAGCTGTAGTAACTGTAGCTGTTCAACTACAGTTGATCAATGTGAGCATTATCTAGAATTTTAGTGTTTTAGTCAACTAAAACACTAAAATTGCGAGCGAATAAAATCTCTTGTATAATGTGAGATTGCACTTTTTCTCAAATTATATTGATCAACTCCTTGTATATTGTTTTTGATAAGATGACCTTTATGCGCATGTAATTTTTCATAAATAGGTTGAGCAAACCAAATAACTCAGATCATTTGAAATACCAAAATGTTCGTTTGTTTTTCAAAAAAGTAAACCTCGCTCCGATAACGTTTTTATGACTGGTATAAGACGTTTAACAGACTTTCCAGTAATTTTGCTCTGTCTGGAATTGAGGTTTCAGGTTGTCTCATGTAACAGAGTTTTGTTTTCTTCGAACGTAAGTTAAAATGCATTCTTTGTGAAGAGATACCTTTTCATATTGATGAAATTGAAAAATTGTCTTCCAATTATTAAATCCCTCGCTAGTGTTTGTTTAACTAAATTAATTTGTTTTATCTCTTTACAGCACAAAAAATTTACACCTTATTATCCAAGATCAATTGGATGACTGTCCTCTTTAATGGAAAATAGATTTACTTCTTGAAAATCTATTCTCCATTAAAATGTTTTTATCTCAAGTAACACATAATTAGGGTTAGACCTAATTATGTGTTACTTGAGATTAAAACAGCATTCATGGTTTGATTCACTTTGATGAACATGATAATCGAAGCTGTCAAAACGATTAATTTTGTCTATATATGGTTTGCAAATGCATATTTATAGCAGTGTTAGTGAAATTGCAAACCTGCAAATTTACTAACACTGATATAAATATTCATTTCAAAATGGTTAGAAATTTATGTTGCATACACTAAGTTTTTCTTTATTTTAGTGATTCGTGAAAAGTCTTAAAAAAGTTAAAGAGTTAAGAAAAAAATAATTACTAACAGTTTTATTAGTAATAGTTTCATTACTAACAGTTTCATTATATTAACATATTTATTACTAACAGTTTCTTTACTAACAGTTTTATTACTAACAGTTTCATTACTAACAGTTTCATTACTAACAGTTTCATTACTAACAGTTTTATTACTAACAGTTTCATTACTAACAGTTTCATTATATTAACATATTTATTACTAACAGTTTTTTTACTAACAGTTTTGTTACTAACAGTTTCATTACTAACAGTTTTGTTACTAACAGTTTCATTACTAACAGTTTCATCATACTAACAGATTCATTACTAACAGCTTTATTACTAACAGTTTCATTACTAACAGTTTCATTACTAACAGTTTCATTACTAACAGTTTTATTACTAACAGTTTCATTACTAACAGTTTCATTATATTAACATATTTATTACTAACAGTTTTTTTACTAACAGTTTTGTTACTAACAGTTTCATTACTAACAGTTTCATTACTAACAATTTCATTACTAACAGTTTCATCATACTAACAGATTCATTACTAACAGCTTTATTACTAACAGTTTCATTACTAACAGTTTCATTACAAACAGTTTTATTACTAATAGTTTCATAACTAACAGTTTTATTACTAACAGTTTCATTACTAACAATTTCATTACTAACAGTTTCATTACTAACAGTTTCATTATACTAATAGATTCATTACTAACAGTTTCATTACTAACAGTTTCATCATACTAACAAATTCATTACTAACAGTTTTATTACTAACAGTTTCATTACTAACAGTTTCATTACAAACAGTTTTATTACTAACAGTTTCATTACTAACAGTTTCATCATACTAACAGATTCATTACTAACAGTTTTATTACTAACAGTTTCATTACTAACAGTTTCATTACAAACAGTTTTATTACTAACAGTTTCATTACTAACAGTTTCATTACACTTCATAAACATTCATTATACTTCATAAATATTCTGTAAGTTTTCAACAAATCTATTTTACGCTCATACTTTTATAAATAGGGTAACTTTACATAACTTCGCCCATCACTCAATACTCCTCCTCTGTGTATTGTTATTAATTAAATTAATTAAAAAATAATTTTCTATAGCTTTGCGTTGTGTAATTGTATAAAAAACTGATGGTCATCAAAACCAAATAAATTAGCTAGATAAAGAACTAAGTATCGCAAATAGATAAACTTTGTCTACTATTGCATTTTCTTTTCCTGATAATTATTGGTAAGAAAGAATCTGGAATTTTATATTTTTATGCTATGTTTTTTTTTTTAGAAATAATTTTTTAGTGTTAAGAAAGAATGCATATTTTGTTTACGACTGCTTTATTTATTTTCAATTTAAGAACTAATGTTTTAGTTATTAAAATAACTAAAACATTAGGCCCAAAACGTTAAGTTCAAAAGATCCAAAACTCATTTTATGCATAATAAGAATGTTTTTATTCTTCTTTAATAGACTTTTGTAATTACTTAGCTAAATGCCTATTTACTGCATTGTAAATTAAGTACTGCAAAGTTCTAGGGTTGGAATTATGTTACAAATATGGTTTTCACCACGTGTTAATATTTGTATCTCCTGCAAATTTAGAGCACTTTATTAAATTAATATGACATTCTTACTGCAATTTAATTTATCTAGGTATTGGCTTGAAAAAAAACATGGTTAAAACAAAAGGTGGGGGATGTAGATCATTACTAAGATTTCACCGAATGTCAGTTGGAAAGATTGCTTCTGTAACAGAGGCTACAATATGTTATAATACAACTCATCTTCATGATGGTATAACTCCTTCAATATCTGGTAGTAGTACTCTTGACATTTGCCAATTGAAACAGCTATCAACAATTGATGTTTTTTTAACTCGTGTCAATGGTTCCAATCATTCCATTGATCAATCAGTCACTCTTAAGAAACGGGGCAAATTCCTGAAATGGAGTGAAGAAAACATGATGAGTGCAACTAAGCATGTCAGATCAGAGTCATTATTTTCAGTGCGTAAGGCAGCAATATTGTACAATGTGCCACGTACAACAATGAGAAACAGAATTTCTAGAAAAGTTATTATTGGAGCAAACCTAGGAAGTAAACCAACCCTATCTTTTGCTCTGGAAGAAAAACTTATCGCTTATGCCAGCAATAGAGCAAAGTTGGGGGTAGGTTTTGAAAAGTCACAGTTCCTGAATTATGCTGGGAAACTTGCCGCAAAACATAAATTTAACTTCAAGAAAAGACTTCCAAGCAACCAGTGGTTGACTAAGGTTAAATACCGGCATGGGATACCGGTCAATTACTGTTATTGCATGTATGAATGCACAGGGCAAGTTCATTCCACCCCAGTTTATAGTGAAGGGAAAGATATCCAGGTCTTTATAGGGTTTTAATACTGAGTTCGCGCCTCCGGGAACATATTGGAGCTGGTCCGATAGTGGTTGGACTAAACAGGGCCTAGCAAAACTATGGTTTACCAAGACATTTTTAGAAAACATAGTTCCACAACGTCCTCAGTTATTGTTTCTAAATGGGCACGATTCTCACAACTTTATTGAGCTTAATTATATTGCTATTCAGAACCATATACATATATTTGAAATGCCTTTACACATATCAAACTGGCTTCAACCATGCGACCGAACCTTATTGAAGCCACTGAATGATTATTATCGCTCTACAGCACTAGATCTGATGGATCAGTTTCCAGGAATTATTACTTGTCGTTCAAATTTTACAGGGATATATGCTTCAGCTTGGGAAAAAGCAATGACTTCTAGCAACATTACATCTGGGTTCAAGTCGTGTGGAATTTATCCGTTTAATCCTCAGGCTTTTCCTAGTGATGCATATTTACCAAACTATCTACTCATAGCTGAGGATATATCAGTTAATACAACTGAAAACAATTGTTTTTTGGTTAGTATTGTACTATCGTGTTTTTGCTAATACTACTATACAATAAAAATTATAATTTAAACTTTAGCTAGCAACTGTTACTAATACTTTAGGTACAAATTGATAAAAATTCTGAATGAAGCATAAAGTTTACTAACTTGCATTTCAATAGTATTATTTATTATTTTCTTAGGAATTCCAACCATCAATTGTTCAAGAAATTAAATTTTCAGACGTTGATGCTTCTATAGATGCTGGAAAAGTTGCTTATTATCTAGAACCATTACAAAATGGCCCTGAAAAAGATAATGCAACTCAGAGTTCGTAACACTTCTATTTTGGAAGCAGAGCCTGTTGTTTATAATAATCAGCTTCTATATTTAGTCAATCCAAATGAAGAAAAAAAATGTTGACTGCATTGTGAATAGTTTTACCAATCTTACCTAGCAAAAAAAAAAAAAAATTTTAGAACCATCAAACTTTAATTCTACTACAGTTTCATATTTTTCGTTTGCAAACTCTTCCTACCCCCTGGTAAGTCAATCATTTTATTGGTTTTTTTTTTCATTTCATTTGATCAAGTGATCAATAGTTGCATAACAACAATGCAACTTTTAATAAATTTTTAGTTTTAAAATAGTTCAATTTTTTTTAAATTATTTAAATACTTGTTCTTTTATTGAATATATATGTTTTTATCAATGCAGGTGATGGAGATGATGATGTCTTGGCATATCCTAAGGCTACCGCACGGAAAAAGATAGCGAACAGAAAAGGTCAAGTTAAATACTTCGTTTTAACTTCTCAAGAAGCATACTCAGCAAAGCTGAAATATCACCAAGACAAAATTCAACAGGAAAGAGAAAAATGCGAAAGAAAATAACATCGATTTTTTAATGCTGCTAAACGACTCAAAGAAAAAAAAGAAAAAAAGGTATTGGCTAAGAAAAAATAATTAGAAAATTATGCCAAGTCTAAAGCAACAAAAAAAAGAAGTTTATTTCATTATTATTTGAATTGCAACCATTAGTTGATCCCGAGAACAATACTGACTAATATGTACTAAACATTTAACAATATTTTTTTATATAACTAAAAATGCATACGATTTCATCTTATCTATATAAACTTTTTTATTATTTTTATTTAAGAATACTTTAATGGTCTTATCACTATGAGTTGGTTCCCCATTTCGAGCTTTACCAATAACGTATAAGTGTTTCAAGCAGGATTCGAACTCGCAACCCTTATTCAATGAATACCATGCTCTAATCACTACGCCACGGCTGCTCAATATAAAAATTAAACTTATGACTGGGACAAAAAGAAGACAATACTTGTCATATCACTACGGCTCGTAAGCATTAATGTGTTGAAACTATACTTTATTTCTACATTTTACAATTACAATTGAGATTGATCTCAGAATTCAGATTCAAGTCAGAATCTAGGGAGAAAGTTCGCATTCACAAAAAAAACAACATGGTTTTATACTTTTCTAATTAAAATGGTGCAATTGAGCATTGAAATTAACTAACGAGATTTAATCTCACTCACCTGTATATAACGTCGCCCTACTCAAATAAAAGTTCTTTTTTAATTTACACAGTGGGCGACTTTAAATCAACATGGCGAGATTGAGTTAAAGTGGGCGAGAATCAATGCTTTTGACACACTGTACAATTTATAATGGTACTGCCAACTATTCTCATAAAATCTAAATAATTGTACATAGTTTTGTAGCTGAAGGATTAAGCTATCTTATGATGTATAGTTCAGCTGTGCGAGCCTAATAATAGCCTCTCAACATGAATTTCAGTGCGGATGTGGGCAAGGTTCGATTAAGTTACCCTATTATATATATATATATATATATATATGTATATATATATATATATATATATATATATATATATATATATATATATATATATATATATATATATATATATATAATATATATATATATATATATATATATAAATATATATATATATATATATATACATATATATATATATATATATATATATATATATATATATATATATATATATATATATTTATATATATATATATATATATATATATATATATATATATATATATATATATATATATATATATATATATATATATATATATATATATATATATATATATATATATATATATATATATATATATATATATATATATATATATATATATATATATATATATTACTGCGGTCTCCTGCGGTATTGGAAGTTATTAAAGAAAAACAAATTTTGGTGAACTCATAAAAGCCTTGTTTTTCGCCATTTTTATAAGTGTCTTATCATATCAAAAAAAATGAAATTGGCGGGAAATTTAAATTTAAGTTTTTTGCTTGTATCAGGGTTTCAAAGTGATAGGAGGAGGGGGTGAAAAATAGCTATTTTGGTTCTCGAAGGCCCCATAAACAATGGAGTTTTCTTGGAAAGCGAAGCAAAGAAAGAAAAAGAAAAGAACTAGCCACTGAGCATCATGAAGCTCTATTTTTAGCTTCAGCAAAAAGTGCAAATGCTGGAGAAAAAAAAAAGTCTCTAAAAAAAAAAATATGTTCAATGTTTTAGAGAAAAGTTGGCGAAACTTAATATAAAACCTTTCCCATTAATATGAGTATAGAGGAAGGACTTGCATTAAAAATGAACGCTGATCTCAGCGATAAACAATATCAAATGATCAGAAACACAGCTCTTGTACACAATGTACATATTTATCCTACCTTGCACGATATTTTCGTGGAAAAATTGAAATGCTATCCTGAAAATATACATTTTTTTGAAATTTTTGCAGAGTGTACTCTTTAAAGCATGTTAGATCACACTGTGAAGTAGAAAAACTGAAATGATTGATACGTCTAAATGTAGTCAAGGTAACAAAATATTTGAAGTTTTGTATGGAAAAATTTGTTTTGATGGAGCATCAAGCCAAAGTATTTATAAACAGAAATACGATACAAGCAACGCAAGTATAGAACTTAAGAGTGAAGAAAATCTTTTCAGTACAGCTTGTGCCTTTAT